TGGTCAGGAAATTCTTCACTTTTAAATCTAGGAGGTTGTTTGACAAACACTTCCTTCTTTAGGTACCCATTCAAAAATGCACTCTTTACATCAATTTGGTATAAAGTGAATTCCATGTGAGCATCAAAGGCTATCAGCATTCTTATAGCCTCCATTCTAGCTACAGGTACAAATGTCTCATCATAGTCAATTCCATCCTCTTAATTGTATCCCTGAACCACCAGTCTGGCCTTGTTCCATGTGATATTTCCTTGTTCATCCAACTTGTTTTTGAACACCCATCTAGTACATATGACTGTTCTGTTCTTGGGTTTCTGTACTAGGTGCCAGACCTTGTTTCTCTCAAACTGATTTAACTCCACTTGCATGACTATGATCCAATCTAGATCCTTTAAAGCTTCTTTGATGGTCATAGGTTCAACCTGTGAGAGAAATGATATGAGTGCACATAGATTTCTTAGAGAAGACCTGGTTTTCACCCCTGCATTTGGATCAGAGATGATATTTTCTTGAGGGTGTGAGCTTTGATGCTTCCATGGTCTGGTCTACATACCTAGAGAATATTCACCTGAGGAGTGACCCAAGGGAACAGGTTCAGTGGGTGTGGCTTCATTATTCTGATCAGCAGTTAGAGTAGCTCGGTCTTCTTCTTGTTCCTCATGATCACTATCAATTTTCTTGTGGTTTTCAGATCCATCTTCATCAGATTCCTTTGTATCTCCATCGCCAGTGAATCCTATGTCATAATATTCATCCTCCAGACCTTTCTCAGCCAAATTGTTAGATTCATCAAAAATAACATGAATATTTTCTTCCACACACATAGTTCTTTTATTAAAAACCTTATAATACAATAAAATTCCCTCATCACTTCTGTCATCAAACTTACCTAGAGCTTCTTTCCCATTATTGTGCACAAAACATTTGCACCCAAAGGCTCTCAGATGAGTGATGTTGGGTTTTCTTCCTCGAAGTAACTCATAGGAAGTTTTCTCAAGAATGGGTCTGACCATGCATCTATTTAGCATATAGTAAGCAGTATTGATTGCCTCAGCCCAGAAGTTCTTATGCAGTTCATTGGCAATTAACATGGTCCTCCCCATGTCTTCTAAGGATCTATTTTTTCTTTCTACAACTCCATTTTATTGTGGAGTTTTAGGTGCACAGAAATTATGGTCAATCCCATGTAAACCACAGAACTCAAGGAATTTTGAATTTTCAAATAGTTTCATGGTCAGTTCTTATACTTAAAACATTACATCCTATCTTTTGTTGAATCAATCTGACAAATACAGAGAAAACATCAAAGGTTTCATCTTTGGATCCCAAAAACAAAGTGCAGGTATACTTGAAAAAATCATCAACAATCACAAACATATACCTTTTGATTCCTCTGCTCCTTATTCTGATTGGTCCACATAGATCCATGTGGATGAGTTCCAGGGATTTAGAAGTGCTTACAAACTTCTTAGATTTAAAGGATGACCTAACATGTTTCCCTATAATACATGCATCACATACTTTGTCATAGGTGAATTCAACTTTAGGTAGCCCAAGGACCAAGTCCTTAGCTGCCAACTTGTTGAGTTAAGAGAGACTGACGTGTCCCAGTCTTCTATGCCATAGTAGTGGATCATCTTCCACTACACTCAAGCATGAGTGCTCACTCTGAATAAGTGACATAATCGATATCTTGTAGACATTGTTATGTCTCTTTTCCTTTAGCACAACTTCATCAGTATCAAGCTTAGTGACAGTGCAAATTTTGGAATTGAATTTTACCTCATTTTCTTTGTCGCACATTTGAGAGATGCTAAGAAGATTGTGTTTAAGACCTACCACATATCTTCTATAGCATGAGAGAGTGACTTGCCAATCTTACCAATACATGTTATATGGCCCTTTTCTCATTACTAAATGACACACTCCCTTCTTGGAAGGCTGTCAGTGAGAGAGTTTTTCTTTTCTCCAGTCATATATCTTGAGCATCCACTGTCTAGATACCAGTCCTGATTGTTTTCTCTCACCTTAGCCTACACCAAAATTGACAAGTTAGTTTTGGGAACCCAAACTAGCTTGGGTCCCCTTTTGTTTGAAAAGGATGAATCAGATCCCTTCTTGCCTAGAAGGGAAGAGGATTAGAAACTACTTTCTTGTTAACCTTAATCCACTTAGTATGGACAGGAGGATTAACCTTTGGCTCCTCTTCCTTCTTCACATTTTTAGCAATACCAAATGTGTTTCTAAACTGAGCATGAATTAAGGCAGCACACGTGTCTCTAAAATGTCCTACTCTTCCACAATGAGTGCACATTTTATTATCATAAATTCCTACATACTTTGGGTCAAACTTAGGGACAAGTTTTCTGTAGCCAATTCTAGATTTGTTAGTGCTACAATTTTCATTCAGCCAATTCAAGGCATCAAAAGATCTATGTCATTTGCTTAGTCTAGAGAGTTCATAATTAGCCTTTTCTAGGTTCTCATGCAGGACTTTATTTCTACATTCAGCTTTACAAAAATTATCATTCGCAATTCTTAATTCATTTTCAAGCTTATCCTACATATCACTCATTTTGCCTTTGCCATATGTATCAGGAGACTTCTCATTCTCAAAAGTTAATTTAAGAACCTGGTTCTTAAGGTCTTTGACATGTTTCTCTAAACTGGCTTTATTGGATTCAAGCTCTTTGATGTTAAGTTTGACACAAGAAAGATTACTGATTAGCACATCATTTACATTACTCATTTTATCCATTTCATTCATTAAGTTCACAATTATGTCCATCAGTTGCTTTTTGGACATAGCATGAATATTTTCTTTCAAGTCAGATTAGATTTACCTGGTTTGTTTCATCTTCAGTTTCTGAATCGCCATGGCCATCATTCCTATCACTTCTTTCTCTGTTTTTGATTCTTCAATCGCCACCAGAGCCACTCCGATGCCTTCATTTCCAAAGTCAGTTTTCAATGTCCTCCATATATCATGAGCATAGATGCAAGAGGACACTCTGAAGAGGGTGTTTTTAGACAAACTTCTGTAGTGCAAGTCCTTTGCTTTGGCATTTTTCTGAACTAGCTGACGATCTTCCTCATCGTATTCCTCTTCTCTTTTGTTACACTTGTTACCTTCATCATCCAATTTGGTTGGGAGAATTGGTCTATGACTGACGATTACCCATAGATCAAAGTCAGTAGCCTAAAGAAATATTTTCATACATAGCTTCCATTCATCATAGTGGAATTCATCAAACAGAGGAGGTCTTCCAATGTGCATCCCAAGTTGTACTGGGAGTTATGTCTTCACAGATTGATGTTCATCGATCACAGCGCAGAGACTAATAGCATCATCCTCCTTTTCTTCCTCTTGATCACTCCCACTAGAAAACTGCCAAATTTCGTCCAAGGAATTCCGATCGACATTGGTCGGAAAGAAATACCGATTGAAATCGGTCTGAAACAAAGTAAAATGGTCGAAAAAATCAAATAAAAATTATAAATAAAAATACCGACCGATATCGGTCGGTTTATGTAGTCGCACAAAAAATATTTAAATTTCCGACCGCTTTCGGTAGGAATATGGTCAATCTTTGACCAAAGACTAGTCAGACTTGCATACTATCTACAAAAATAATGATTAATTAAAATAATTATAGAATACCGACAAATGTCGGTTGGAATTTTTAATTTAATTTTTTCCCGTCCTACGTCAACTGTGTTTTTTGATAATAAGCAATTATTTATCATATAATTATAAACTTTCCGACCGATATCGGTTGGAAATAGTAAATTGTATATATATTTATTTATATATATATATACACACACACACACACACACACACACACACACACACACACACACACACACATATATATACAGTTGTCGGCTCGCCTACTGTATTCCGCATGTATATGTACATATGTCTTTCGGACAGGTTTCCCTCGTATATGTTATTCATGTTTATATCTTAGACGCATGTTTAAGGGTATTCGACAGGTAGGACTCGGGCACCCGTCGCGGCCCATCGGTTTGGGTCGTGACAATACCGACCAATTTCGGTCGGTAACTTATTTAAAAATAAAATGTATAGTGCTATAAGATGTAGTGTTATATTAAAACATAAGCTGTAACAATAACAACATATACTCGGTCAAATCAAAAAATTCAAGAACAACTTCAAGAGTGGATTCTATCCATATCCATATGGAAGTGGATTCTATAAAGCTACTTGTAGTTGAAGGGAGAGCACAATAAAATGGAAGTGTCAGATCTTATTTGGAACTCAGTAGCTCTACCTAGATACAGATTTCACATGTGGCTAGTAGTCTATGGTAGACTATTGGCAAAAGAAAGATTGCTCAGATTGCACATACCACTAGAGAATCCCAATTGCTGCTTATGTGACCATCGGGTTATGGAGACAAGTACACATTTATTTGTAGACTGCAATTGGATCACAACTTTGAGAGTTGAACTTATTCAATGGACTAATGTTCAACTCCCCGTTGGAGAGCTGAAACATGTGTTGGAATGTATCAAGAGGAAGCACTGGAAAACATTCAAAAAGGATGTTATAGCAGCTGTTTGGGGAGCCATGACATACCAGACCTGGCGAGTTCAGAATTACAGAGTGTTTAAGGGTGCTATACTACAACCAACAGAAGTAGCAACACAGATAAAGAGAGAAATTGTACAGAGAATAGAAGTACTTAGATCGTCAAAAAAAGCACATAGGAGTAGAGAGTTTTTACATAGAATACTTAGTTGAATTATAATTTTGCATAATTGTAACTAGTTGTTGTCGGAGGCTTATTTTTCATAGTACCCTTCCTAGAAGGTGGCTATGGAAATAAGTGCTCTATATGTGTATTAATTTGGTTTGTTAATGATAATATCCACATTATTACCAAAAAACAAATACTTGCAGAAAGAAGAGTTTAATGTCAATGACAAATAGATATAAGTTTATACATGAAGAGGGAATAAGAGAAAATAAAGAAAATAATAGTACAACATATCATATCAAACATATCTAGAAGAATAGTGAAGATTTAGAGATTGGAGACCAAAAATAATTACAGTCAATAATATCTGCACAAATTTACAGGCAATGACATTAATTGTTTTTTAGATAACCAACCTCTCACATCTCCTAATAGGAGCATCTGTGCTTGTCCTCTTCATGCGTCCGAACCATCTCAGCCTCGACCTCCGCATCTAGTCCTCCACAGCGACCACTTTGTCCTGATTAACTTATTCCTAATCTTATCTCTCCTGGTATGTCCACACATTCATCTCAGCATCATCATTTATGTTGTTTTCATCTTTTGAACATGGAAATTCTTGACTGGCCAATACTCAATCCCATACAACATCATTGGTCTAACCATCACTCTGTAGAACTTACTCTTAAGTCTTAGTGACACATTCTTATCACATAAAACATCGAGATAAAACATCGAATGCACCACCAAAACACCCATCCACAACTGATGTGGGAATTAACACAGAATATCTAAAAAGTTTCAAGAGTGAAATCAACAAATCATCGTGACTAAACCAAATTGTCTAGGATCAATTGACTTATATCCCTTGGTTTTGCAGAAAAAGCAAAAGTATTGCATTTAGTTACTGCACATAAGCATGTGACATGTAAAAGCTTACTTAAATATCAAAAATCCCAACTCACTAGCTACTTTTACATTTCTGTTAGCCTAAATGATTTTCTTTTACTAATATTAACTTCAAATTAGGTCATTTATAATCTCTGTAAAAATAGTATACTTCAATCATCATGTACACCTGAAATTGGGGGAGGTTGGAATGGGGAGGGGCTGAGGAGATTTCAACAAAGCTGTAAATCAGAAAACGGAAAAGTAAGAGAAACCAAAAGAAAGTCAAATTCATGCTAAAATCGTTCAGATTTTGACGACTGTAGGAGACTTGATTCTACGAATTTAAGAGGACAAAAAGTCATATATAGGCGCACGCGCGCGCATATATATAATAGAACATTAATACTAGCCTAGAATAAAAATTATATCTCAAATTTACTTACAAGCGAGCGTGGAGATTAAAGACGAGATTCGTTTTCTTCAGTCCCTGTTTGGGTTCTGAATGATGACCTTGAAATTGCTGTTTGCCATCTCTTCACACTGACTTTCCTCAATTTTTCTGACTAATTGAGAAACAGAGTCTCCACACAAGAACACCTCAATCTTTTGCAGGGAACAACTATCACCAAACTCAAAAGGAATCTCAATGAGCTGCTTGCAATTTTGCAACACTATATGCTCAAGACATGGGAAGGCATCCTCTGATATATTCCAACGTGTAATATTCAGATTTCCCAATTTCAAGTACTTGAGTTTTGGAAATTCCTCATCACTCACGTTCCACTCCCCTCTCCCTCAAAAGCTTTTGAAAGTAGTTTCAAAATCTCAAGGTTTGGTAATGCTGAAATTGCAGAAATTTCAATCCATGGCAACCGAAACTTTGATAAGGTCAATTTCTTAAGGTTCGAGGGGAAGTTAAATTCACAAGGCAGAAGCACCCGACCTTGATAAATCACATTGAGTGATTCAAGCTGATTCAAGAAATCCAAAACTGGAAATCGATTGCAAGATTCTCCCAAGTTCTCAGAATGACCCCAAGATTCCAAAAATATGCATTTTAGTTTTTGAAGGAAAGGGAAACTTCTCACTATAATCCTTGTGTCATAAGAAAGAGATGGAGTGGATAAGGTCTGCAAAGAATCCAATTGGGACAAGTTGGAATCTGAGAAGGTACAGTTATCTATATGTGCATGCCTCAGCCTCTTCATACTGAAAAATGTATCTGGTAAAGTTACCTCACCTTCTCTTCCTTTCACTAGGAAAGTTTCCAAGTTCCAGAGCCTGGAAATCCAAGAGGGAATGAATGGCATGCCACCTTGAAGTGACAAAAATCTCAGATGCACAAGCCTTTCTATTTCCGGAGGAAAGGTATTGCCAATGTTGATGCACCCCAAGTCCAACACTCTAACAAGCTCAAAGACGCCCAGAAATAGACCTTTCTCGGGGAGAGGACCTAGCAATGAGCAGTGCCATCCGGGTTCAGAAGAATATATCATTGTGCGGGTAAGGGAAATATGTGGTGTATCCAGAAAGAAAGCTTCAAATCGTGATGCCACTGGCAAGAACTTTTCGACTTTAAATCTGCCTCGACAGAAATGATATAGATAATAATGAACTTGACATGATTTCAGCCCGCCCTTTGAACTTCTTCTGGCCTCCATTACAAGGCTCCTCCCGATAAGATCATTCAGGTAATCTTCTGCTACCTCCTCTGGTTTCTTCACCTCATCTCTTCGTACAAATCCTTCACTAGCCCATACCCATGTTAGTTTTGAAACTGAAATTTCTGTACTCATTGGCAATGCTGCAAAATATAGAAAACATTGTCTTAGATAACCAGGCATATTTTTGTAGCTCAATTCTATTATTTCATTGCAGTCTCCTACATCACGGTTAGTTTCTGAACTAAATGCCTCTTCAGTAATGGTTAGCCAATCGTTGTCGTCCTCTAAATTGACAAGAAACCCAGCTACCAAAACAATGGCCAGAGGTAGCCCTCGACAATTTACGGCAATTTCCTTCCCAACTTCAGCAGGACAGTTCTCATTTGGAATTGGGGGTTTGCGAAATTCTTCTTGAGTACAGAAACTAAGGTGATTAAATTTCACTTGTAATAGCTCCCAACTTTCTTCCGGAGTCAACAAGCGAACCAAAAGAGGTTCATCAAACAATGGATCCTCATATTTTCGGCCGCTGGTAACAAGAATTCTGCTTCCATTATGATTATCTGGAAAACACCTGTGCAACTCATCAAATATATAAGAATCCCACACTTCATCTAAAACGATGAGGTATCTTCCTCTATGTAACTGTCTGCGTAAAAGATCAAGAAAATCTAGCTCCTTCCCCTCCTCTGACTTGCAAATGTCATTGCTCAGATCAACGATAGAAAATAAAATATCTTGGGCCAATTCACTCCCCGTATGTCTAGGAGAAACAGAACACCATGCTCGAATATCAAAGTGATCTGAAGTTCTTCTGTCATTGTAAATTCTTTTGGCAAGTGTTGTCTTACCAATTCCTGGCATGCCAATGATAGGAATGGTTTTAAGCTCGGCTCCTCCACCAACTAGCCGTGCCATTAATAATTCTATCTGGTCCTCCAAGCCTACAACAGCTTCATTAATGATTGGAGTGCTAGGTTTTGATGTTTGACAATCAATTGGGACATCCTTTTTTCCTGTGTAGATTTGCGAAAATTCAACAACTTCCTTGAAGAACTTAATTTCTTCAATGACATCGTCTAACTGATTGTTCCATAGAGGAGAAGGTTCAAGCACGAACATGTCAACAATATATTCAAATATGACAAATAAATTGGTCATACGATCACAAACATATAACACTTCCTCGTGCTTACCTTGTTGGTCAACATTACCTTTGAGAAAAGGTCTGAAAATTTTAATATCAAACAGTACAACTTCAATGTGATGTGCTACCGGAGCAATTGAATCATTCCTATGATCCAACAATCTCAGCAAATTTTGCGATACCAAATCTATTCATCCCAAACTATCAATCTGGGAAAAGGGCAATGCTGGCTTTTGTTTCTCAATAGTACCCTTTAAGATCTTTGATGCCATAGGCTCCATCTTTTGCACCAAACGGGATATAGCAAGATCAAATTCTTTGCCCAAATCTTCATTTGTTTCTCGGTTGTCTAATGAGCTAATGAATGACCAAAACTCATTGACTACAAGATCAAATATTGTCAAGCTTTCATTATGGATATCACAGCATAAGATATATACCAGCAGTAACCTGAGCGAAATTTGGAGTTTTTGAACACGATCGTTGTAGATAGGTAGATAGGACCGGGAATTGAGCTTACTCATCGGTGCTTCTAGGGTGAAATGAACAAAGCCAGCTGCAAAGACATCCACTTCCCTAGTGAACTCTATAGTTGGGTGTAAAAGTTTCAGGCCTCCAACATAAGAACGGATATCTGATTTAGCATGGTGTATGCTCTGTAGCAGATCTATCAGCGTGAAACTAATGCAATCAGCCATATCCTCATCCAATTCATCTGCCAGACAAAGGAAAGCGATACAACATGATGCTTTTTTTACCACAACTGTAAAATGATTACAGAAATTGTTGGACTCAAAATTAGAGTAGTTTAGCATGAAGGGAAGAAAACCTTTCAGAATTTTCAGATTTCCTTTGAAAACTTCAAGTTTTTCCTTCACAGGAGCAACAAAATCTGCCTTGTAGTTTAGCAAAAACTGTAGATTGTCAACAAGGGATTCAATATATCTAGCCAGGATTTCATCAGCAGATGGAACAACACCAAATGCTCGGACGAGCTTGGGAAGTAGTCGTAGAAATAAAATCATGTCAGGCTTGAGAAGCCAAATCTCTTGAAGTGTGTCGTAAGTAACACGATCCTGTTCAGAGCTTTCCATATCACAAAGCGATTGAAGGTCCCGACCTGCGTTTGTGATCAAAAGCTGGATATGATTCAAAATATCTCTTACATCATTATCCTCATCCACGTGGACCCATGTACGGGCACTGCGAACAAGTGGTAACAGATATGTCAATTCCTTCCTAAGCATCTCTGTACAAACAGTGAAAGCCCCGTATTTTATAACTTTGTTTTCAATAAATTTGATAAGACCGCGAAGATCAAGATACAAATCGTCCATGGCTTTGCAGATTAGAAATGCAGTAAGCAAACTGAAGAAAGTATGAAGGTCAAGGCTGAATGAGTACTCTAACAGCCTTAATTGTCAACCATTTCTCTAGTGTTAAAAAAAACTCCTAGGACCAAGTATGAAGCACATAAAAAATTGCCCACTGGTCCTTATTTTATTGATTTTGAAATTGAACACATTCTGCTGGGAAAAGTCAGTCTAGGTAGGGATTCTCTTAAACAAGAACAATAATTATATACAGACTACAGTGAAATGCAGCTGAACAAGTTGGCATCATCTGTTAATTTTTCAAAATTTAAGCTGGTAAAATAAAATATGGCTTTCTAAGGTGCTCTAACTTATGCCACCACACCAATTGCATTATGTTACTACTACTATTTGGAGCATTAGACTTGAAAAGAATCAATAAGCTCGCTTTAGGTGCTGCTGTTACCAGTTGAAGGAGAGAAAAAGCTTTGATGTATCAACTACTGCTTCTTCGTTCTCGATAAGTGGTTTAGATATTTTCGCTTATTTTAAATCAAACACTTACATCTCTATACTATAGATATCTCACATAAATATAATGATAATAATGTTATCTCCATTTTTCTAATAAAAAATATTTAAAAACTCTTATATAACAAAAATCCTACACAAAGGAACCTTCATCTAATTTGAAACAGAACAATAAATAATCAAACAAAATAAACTCTGAAATTCATATATAATAAAATATTACAATAGCTTCCATGTTTAAAATGCAAAAAATATATTACTTTTAATATGTGGTTATTTCCTATTTAAGAAGTTTGAAAGATATACGTTTCAGAAAATATTTATCCTTTTTAAATTTCATAAAATTAATTGTGTAACAATTTGTTAATTGAAATTTTAATTTTACTTTAATACTTAGTTACAAATTATATATCTCATATTTTTCAAAATTAAACGCTTAACATCCTATTAAAATTGAAACATTATCAAAGCTAATACTTCTGTGAGATTTCATATTACAGAGGGTGTAAGAGTTTGATTGTAAAATGCAGGTGGTGTATTTGCAATTGAATCATATTATAAGAGTGTTTAGCATATTTTAAAACTAATATTAACAAATATCACACATTTGATTAAATTAAAGATCAGAAAAGGCTGAGTGGAATAATATTAGGTTCAAAGCAAGAAACACATATTAACTCAAGGACTAAAATAAGAATTTTCTCATTTTATATTATATATTATACTTTAATAGAAAAATTAACCTAAATAGCCGCTCAATCAATAATCATGTCTCAGTTTTAGGACTTCTTGCGCATTAGAAGATTCAATTGATGCATAGGCACCTAATTTGGATTTCATTATTAAAAAAAAAGATTCTTAACTAAGTGTATCTAAACCAAAGACAAAACATCATCACCATCCTTGATAGGCTTTGAACAGTAGAAGGAAAAGATTTTAGCTTCAGTGGAAAATATAAAAATCACCAGCTTTTGTTCGTTCCACGAGTGTTACCTACCACATTATCTCATCCTCTTATTGCAAGTGCAGAAGAGCATTTGCAAAGGTTGGAGTCAACTGAAGGTACCTCCCACATCTTCTCCCACCAATATGCCAGAGATTGGATGGTCTTAGAAGATCGTATGAGCGAGTAGACGACGTGCTCCAGTTGCCATTCAGCCAATAAGTTCTCTGCCATGAAAAGCATACCATATGAGTGGAACAAGTCTCTAACAGGTCTCTCAACTTTCTGCTATTTCATTACAGTTCTTATCTATCTGAGTTTTAATAGTCTATTGAGGCTAACATTTAATGTAAATGGCTCTTATTAGTTGCCAATACCAGAAGGATCAATAATTGTGTACTAAACAAAGAGGCAAGCGCATTAAAATTCATAGGACAAATACCATATGTTTAACTCAAATGAATATTCTACTTAATTCTTTTTGATTTGCCATAAACCAATTAAGTTTAACGGGGTTAAAATTAGTCACTGGCCTTATTAGCCTCAGTATTAGGCTTGGCTAGACTCTATTCTGTATTGTCACGACTCAACTAGCGGTTGTGCACATAGGAGGGCTTCACCCATCAGAGCAAGCCTTTGAATCTTTAAAAATTTCGACAAAATCTTGCCTGTAACTGAAACTAATTCCGTTTTTGTACCTGTCTCTATCATCCAAACTACATCACTCAATATTATGGTGTTTCAGAAAACACCATAATATGCAATATAAGTAACACAATAATCTTTAATAAACACATTGCAGTGGCGAAGTTTCAGTTTGCTAATTGTGTCTGATATCTCTGTTCAAGATTACTACTTGTAACAATTGAAACCACTCCCCCCTCCCCCCACCCCCCACCCCAAAATAAATAAATAAATAAATAAATAAATAAAGGATTAGTTAAAAAGAAAACCTTCAAAACAACATTCTAGAATTTAAAAGACAAATCTAGTCCACTTAAAAAGATTAGAAAAGAGAAAACGGCCAAAATTATTCTTGAACTATTGAAAATAGAATAACTATGCCCTCTGTTTGAATTTGGTCCCAAAAAAGTCCGTACCGCTAGCCCATTGAAACACTTATGCCCTCAAAACTAACGGACTCCACATCAGCCTTTTCCTTCTCTTCCCCATGTCTATGAAAATTGAATCTAAGAAAGAATAAAAGATTGTAATCAATCTCGCCCTATACATCTTCACTCAGATTAGTCTTCATCATCATATCCAAATCATTTTCTTTCCTGTACTCGCAGCCAAGTTTGCCATCAGTTCCATTCATTTACTCCATTTTCAACTCAAACAGAAATTCTCTCAAACACCCACTGTGCAGCCACTTTTAAAGGCCACTCCTCCTATGATCACTCCTGGATAACTTGGCTGCGAGTACAGAAAATCATTCAACAGAAATCCATAGTCATATTTGGGAATAAGCTCTTCAGTGCTCACAAAGATCACAAAATTCGCGTCTGGAAAATTGACAACGACGCACCAAATTTTAATCCAACCAAGTGAAAGCTACTGTACCAAAACTACTACAAATATTGATCAACTGATTTAATTTGAAAAATGTGTATATCAGAATAATATCCAGCCTTCAAATATTGCAACAAAACTTTAAGAGCCTGTTTATAGTATATATATATATATATATATATATATACCTGATTGAGCTCGGAAATAGCTTTGGATATATCATCAGGGACGGAGCCACAAGCCTGCGTATGGTTTCGGCAGTTGAATATCATCACTATTCAACTGCTCCAACCAATACTTTAACTGTAATCAGACAAAAACATAACGAAAAAAATAAGTTTTTGACATAAAGTTAACAACTTTCAGTGAGGCATATTCACAAACAGTTTGAGAACTGTACTTGGTCATACTATAAATAGATGAAAGTTCGAAAATGAGTCTTTGCTAATTCTGAAAATTACAGATGAATGAATTGAGGGATAAATTGACTGATGTTTTGCAGAAGTAGTAGTGCCCTTCGTCTTCACCAAATGATGAGATTGAGGCTGTGGACCATTTCTAAATAAGAGCAAATATATGCCATTTTATAAAGACATGTTTTACACAAATAACCATCTGGTTTGACTGTCTACTTTATTGGTTATATGTTAAAGCACCTCGTATAAATTTTATATACGAGGTACAGTTAAAAAATAATAATTATTATTATTCTTATCCAACCGCTAATCTACACAAATTTCCCTACTCTAATCCTTAATCTAACCCCTGATCAAACTCTCTAATCCGCTCTTATTCTTTTTCCTTCACTCTCTCTATTTTCGGCTTCACTTCTCTTTCTCTTTCTCTCTCTCACACACAAGAAACAACAATAACAACGTTAATAATATACTCAGTATTATCCCAACCGTAGGGCAAAAACACACACAAGAGTTCTCTATATTTAGTATGACATTTTTAATGGGAGTTTTTCCTAGTAATACTATAATAAAGACTTTATTACCAATTTTCTGTGACGACCCAAAATGTCATCATTAAATTTAATAATTATTTCTGTGTTCTAAGACCTCGAAAAGCACTATTCATCGACTTGCGTGCGCAGTCCGTATGATTTTTCGAAAAGTTTTTATGTAAAAAATGGATTAAAATGTGAAATAAATCTTTAAAACTCAATTGGGTTGACTTTGGTCAACATTTTGAGCAAACGAACCCAGATCAGTGTTTTGACAGTTCCAGTAGGTCCGTATCGTGATTTGGGACTTGAGCGTATACCCGGAATCGAATTCGGAGGTCCCTAACTCGAATTATCGCATGTTGCCAAAATTTTAAAGTTTAAAGGTTTAATGACTATAAAGAATTGACAAATATTTGACTTTGTTGATATCGGGTCCGTATATTGGTTACGGAATACGATATAACTCCATTACTATATTTATGACTTGTCTACCAAATTTGGTGAGAAACGGAGTTGGTTTGACGTGATTCGGACGTTCGGTTGTTAAAATAGAAATTTTAAAGTTTTTTTTAAAATATCATTTGATTTGGAGCTTGATTCGTAGTTCTAGGCGTTATTTTTGGTATTTTGATCATGCGAGTAAGTTCGTGTGATATTTTTGGACTTATGTACATGTTTGGTTTGGAGCCCCGAGGGCTCGGGTGAATTTCGGATAGGTTACGGGTGGTTTGGAACTTAGAAAATCTGGTTTTTACTTAGCTTCAGATATCATCTGGTTTCCTTCTTCGCGTTCGCGAAGGCACAACCGCGAACACGAAGAGTGAACGGGATGGGTGGGATTTTACCCTACGCGAACGCGAAGGGCTGTACGTGAACGCGAAGTGGAGGGGGATGCCCTTCGCGAACATGACAGTGTATCGCGAACGCGTAGCTTATGGAACCTGGGGAGGGGAACTGAGTAATACTCTTCGCAAACGCGGCGTAGGGCTTGCGAACGCATAGGCTGGTGGGTGAAAGCCTTCGCGAACGCGAAGGGTATCTCGCGAACGTGAAGGCCACTTGGGCTCCTGCACATCGCGAACGTGACAGGCCCTTCGCGAACGCGAAGAAGGCCTGACGCCACTGAATTAAAACATACCCAAGATAGGATTTCGTCCCATTTTCATTATCCACGATTTAAAACCCAGTTTAGGGGCGATTTCAAAGGAGTTTTTCACGATTTCGAACTGGTAAGTGTTCTTTATCATATAATGATTATATTTCATGAATCCGTGTCTATATTCATTATGAATTTCGGATTTAGATGGAAGAAATTGGAATTTTTGTAAAACTTTCCAAAAACAAAAAATTAAGATTTGAAGGTCCATTTGACATCGGAATTTGATAATTTTTATATGATTGGACTCGTCTCGGAATGAGTGTTCGAATTACGAAAGTTTTTCCGAGATTCAAGACGTGGTCCCCACTATTAATGTTTTAGATGAATTTCTAATTTTAATCTGAAAAATTAGAAAATTCATATGGAATTAAGTTTTACTATTTGTATTGAGTATATTGAATTGTTTATGACTAGATTTGAGGATTTCGGATACGAATTCGCGAGGAAAATATTTATTGGAATCTTTAAATTGGTTGCAAAGCGAGGTAAGTGTCGTGGTTAACTTTGTCTTGAGGGAATAGAACCCTTGAATTATTTGCTATGTGAATTTCATGTGTAACGATGCATAGGCAAGGTGATGAGTGCCTATACATTGTCAAATTAATTATTTGCTTAATTATTTAAACACCTTAAATTGTTTTAAGATGCGAATTAGTTGTTATAATAATTGTTTCTCTCCTATTCCTTGTCAAATATTAATTCTTAAAATTCTGTAATAATTGTTACATGCTTATTTGATTTATGTGTCTTAATTGCTACTTGACATTTAGCATATTAAATATTAAACTGCCTATTTTCTCTTTGATTTTCATAATTAATTGCTACTTGTCATTGTTTGTTTCATAAATAAATTATAATTATTGTATGCCTTGATGCTTAATAGTTTCTCATTGAACGTGGTATTTATTGGAGTATTTTTATTACATTTAAGAGTTGTTATATATATTGGGGGATCGGGTTTCACGCCGCAACAGATTTATTTAAAGTTCATATTGGGGGATCGAGTTGCACGCCGCAACAAATATATTTAATGTTCATATTGGGAGATCGGGTTGCACGCCGCAACAAATTTATTCTAAGTTTGTATTGTTGGAGCGGGTTGCACGCCGCAATGGAAACAAGTTGAGGGATTGTGACTGTTGAATTGACTTCAATTATTGATATTATTTACCGGTCTTACTACTATTCATGTTATTATTATTATTATTATTATTATTATTATTATTATTGTGTACATGTTAATGTAAGCGGTCTACCTTAGCCTCGTCACTACTTCGTCGAGGTTAGGCTCGGCACTTACCAGTACATGTGGTCGGTTGTACTGATACTACACTCTGCACTTCTTGTGTAGATTTCGGAGTTGGTCCCAGCGGTGTACTGTAGACTTTCCCGGATACAGCTACCAGTGGAGACTTGAGGTATAACTGCACAACGTTCGCAGTTCTGAAGTCCCCTTCTATCTTATCTCAACTGTGTATTATATTTCAAACAACTTCAATTTTATTTAGACCTTTATTTATATTATTCTAGAAGCTCGTGCACTTGTGACTCCAGTTATAGGATGGTATTTAGATATTGCGATTATTATGGATTATTCACTTTATTTCAGACTTTATTTCTGCAATTGTTTACTTGTTATTAATTAATTTAAAATTTTGTTAAAATGGCTAGTTATATTCTAAAGTTGGCTTGCCTAATAAGTGAAATGTTAGGCGCCATCACAGTCCCGAAGGTGAGAATTTCGGGTCGTGACAGTTGGTATCAGAGCACTCAGTTTTTTCATTCTCACATGTCACGAGCAAACTTAGTAGAGTCTGAAGGATCGGTACGGAGACGTATGTATTTATCTTTCAGAGGCTATAAAGTTTAGGAACAATATCACTTCTTTCTTATTCTATCGTGTGATCTTATTCTATCATCGATAATTGAACCGTTTTATTTTTATTCTCTCACAGATGGCGTGAACACGTAATACATCTACCGACGGACAGGGACCAGAGCCCCCGATGGCAACTATGGCCAGGGGTAGAGGTCGAGGCCGAGGTTGAATTAGAGCTCGATCTAGAGCTCGAGCAGCAGCACCTGCTGTAGAACCTCAGGTGGATCTTCAGGAGGAGGTTCCAGTTCAGATTGTACAAGTTGGACTAGTTGAGGTCCCGGAAGGATTCATAGCTACTCTAGTATTTCATGACGCTCTAGTCCGATTGGTAAGTCTTATGGAGGGCGTGGCCCAGAATGGTACATTTCCAGTGGTACCAGCCATCTCACAGGCTGGGGGAGGAGCACAAACTCCCACTACTCCCGCTCCGGAGAAGATGGCTCCCCAGAATCAGGCTCCAGCTGCCCCGCCAGTTGGGGTAGTTCAGCCAGTTGTTGCGGTACAGGACGGTGTTAGGCCCGCCAGGTCTTCTAAGGCCTTATTGAGACTGGATAAGTTTACTAAGCTCTTTCCAGTTTACTTTAGTAGTACACCTCCTGAGGACCCACAGGATTATCTTGACCGCTGCCATGAGGTGTTGCGGAACATAGGTATAGTTGAGACCAATGGGGTCGATTTTGCTGTATTTCATATGGCGGGTTCCGCCAAGAGGTGGTGGAGAGATTATACATTGACCAAACCAGTTGGATCGCCTGCATTGACCTGGGAACAGTTTTCACGGCTATTTCTAGAGAAGTTCCTCCCTATCACATTGAGAGAGGATTACCGCAAATAATTTGAACGCCTACAGCAAGGCAGTATGACTGTTACTCAGTATGAGTCCCATTTTGTGGATTTAGTCCTCCATGCTCTCCTTTTACTACCTACTAATAGAGAGAGAGTGAGGAGCTTTATTGAGGGACCCATTCACCCTATCATGCTTCAGATGTCCAAGGAGACCGGAAGTGAGATTTCATTTCAGACGGCTGCTAATATCGCGAGGAGGATCAAGATGGTTCTTGCACAGGAGAGAGGGCAGAGGTCTGATAAGAGGCCTCGTCAGTTCGATGGTTTCAGTGGTGCCTCATCTGGAGGCAGGGGTAATTTTGGTAGGGGTCATCCTCCCAGATCATTTCATTCAGCACTTCAAGCATCTCCCGGTGCTTCAGGGAGTCACGATCCTATTATGCCTTACTCTGGGCAGCCATCATTTAGTGCACATTCAGCTCATATAAGTATACCACCGCTCCAGAGTCACTACAATGGTTATCCGACCCGTTCGGGTCAGCTTCAGCAGCCGCGGCATCAGGATGGGTGTTATGAGTGTGGGAACATTGGTCACATCAGGAGGCATTACCCTAGGTTGTCGAGTAACAAATCTCGACAGGATTCTCGTGCCATCATACCGATACCGGTTGCTTCATCGCCTGCTCAGCCAACTAGACGTAGGAGTCAGGCAGCTAGAGGTAGAGGTCAGGCCCTTAAAGGTGGAGGCCAGCCAGTTAGAGGCCATCCTAGAGACGCAGTACAGAGTGGTAGAGCCCAGCCCCGATTTTATGTTTTTCCAGCTAGGCCTG